TCGTTCCTCACATACTCCCTGATGAACTATCTCTCATTTTTTCAAAAGAAAAAAGATAAAGAAAAATAAATAATTGTAAGGAGTGGAGGATGGAGCTATCTGATTCTAAAGATGGTAATAAATATCTTAACTACTGAGTTAATAACCCAATTTAGATCTTTTTTTAATACAACTCACATTACCCTATTTAATTACATAATTAGAAAGTATTTTGTTTTATCTCTCTAATATGCGCATTTAACGATTATAATTGAATAATGACCCACATGATGAAATTAATGTTTTTTTTAGAAATAAATGCACTCTTTTTTTTTTCTTAGTTCATAACGCACTCCTTAAAATAAATACAATTCTTTGGATTTTTCTCCCACAACAAAACATGTAATTTTTTTCCCAACGTTATTTGTGTCCTTTTTTTTAATTTTTAATTTTTTTAGTACAAGAAATATGGAGTGTTTGGATTCGAGAAAGAAGAAGTTATATTTTTTTATTTAAATATTTTAATTTTATCTATTTGAAATTAAGTTATACATTGAAATCTTTCGCCATTGCTAAAAATTAATGTTCATGAACAAAATGTAGTTGAAACTACTCTAATTTTAATTTAATAAATTAGAGATAACTGCCCTAAAATGAAAATTTTATTCATTTCACGCTGCTAACACATAATAATTTATACCACACATAATAATTTAAAAATTAAATTTTTGGTTAAATTATAATTTGGGGTCTACGAAATTTCAAAATTATATTATATTTAGCCAATGTCAGATCTATAATTTTATGGTAGAAGGGGACACAAATTTATATAAACAAAATGAGAAAATATCAATTTTTTCTCTAAATTTTAGAATGTGAGCCGACTTTTATACCCAAACTTTTAATTTCATCACATTGTATCTTAAACTTGGATATTGTTGCAATCTTCACTTTAAACTTATTATAAAGATGTTTCAATTTTTCTTTCTTGAAAGATTTTCATTTGAAAATGTATTCTCATATGTCAAATGAATTATAAAATATATAGTTGGGTATACGAAATTGAAGTGAATTCAAACAAAAAATACCTCATGCATCAACAATCTCATAACAGTCCAATATACGATACACCAAAATGATCATATGTAAAAGCCAATCAATCTAAAATAGTCCAACATGATCCAACAGCTCCAGCAGGCCTCGTTCACAAAAAAAACACAAACAACCACTTGACGGTCCAGGGCTAATGTTTTACGATCCGTCAATAGCCCAAATCAGGTGCTGAGGTAACGGTTTCTGGGCCCACGCCATTCTTGATTGAGGCCCATATCTGTGGCTGGCCCACTTTTTACTCGGTGGATGTTGGCCACTCGGCTCTTCTTCAACCTTGTGGGCCTACTTGAGAAATCAGAGTAGTTGTATAAAGTGTAGGGTATTGTGAGCATACCATTAGTGTTTAGCTTACTCTCGTATTTATAGAGGTCGAATCTTAATCTAGGGCAAGTGGGAGAAATGTAATTGGGTATAGTGTAAGCCCTAGTTTATTGTATTTTCCCTTTGCTTTATGATAATGTACACCCCACTCGAGTTTAGTTCAAGTGGGAGTTTGTTGGGTGCGTTGCCCTAAACTCGTAGTTTGTTTTATAAGGGCTTTTTAAACTTCAATATGTTGGTATTATTTCTCGTTTATAAATGTTTTGAAGGAAAATAAATTTTAAAACTTTATATAGGACTTGCTTATTGAGTATATTTTATACTTTGTTTAGTGTTTATCTAAATGTTTCAGATGAAGGTTCGACTATTTCCATCCTAAAACTAAGATATCTCTCATAATAGACATATTAAGGAATGTCTTAGGACTTTGAACTTGCTTAGACATATGTCAAGTGAAAAGCGTAGTCGTTGGTTTCTAAAGTAAAATGATATCGTCCTTAGCATATCCTTGATTCTTTGTTGGCTAACTTGAAGTAATTCGGGCTAAGTTTTACCATTACAAGACCAAATCCCAAATCCAAAACCAGTAATATTCATGGGGTTCCATCTCAAAACCAATTGGTCATGAGAGTAATCTATGTCTATTATAAACCTATGCAAGGTCCCTTCAATGTGAGATCCTTAACAGATTTTATACATTTATCGAACTTAATTTTAGAAAAACTTTATTTTTTTTATATTATTTTTTGTTTCAAGGGGTGAATTAGTAAAAATTCATTATGGTTTACACTCCATCTCTTTGAGTGCTTAAACCCGTAGATGATCATCTTGCCACGTAATATCCACGTATAGTTATATATCAACTTGTCATGTGTAAGTGTTAAAACAATCGAGTTAGCTAGGGGCAGGTGCCAATGAGACACAAAATTAAATATAAATACAAATACAAATACAGCCTTAAAATTTCAAGATATCTATTAGAAGAACATTTTAAAAGTACAGACGCTAAAAAAAACTAAAGTTATAATTGAATTAAAGAACTTTAAACATAAGGGACTGAATAAAGAACCGATGTACAAATCAAGGGTAGGATCGGAGTAGTATACATATACAAACCAACAATAAATAAATAAAACACAAAAAGAAGAAGAAGAAAGAAAGGTAATATGGTAAAAACCCAAAAGGAGAACCAACTCCCATCTTATTTACCTTTTCTCCTTTTTCATCTTTTCCTCGCTTTCTCACCCTATACTACCCCTACACCCCCACGTCCAATAAATAAATAAATAAAGAAAAAAAAAGCTCTCTCTCCCTCTCCTCTCTCTCTCTCTCCTCTCTCTCTCTCTCTCTCTCATCCATAGGCTCCTCAAGTGTCATTATCTCACATATACTTCACACAAAAGAAACAACCATTCACTTCATAGCTTGTCATTTCTTCTCTCTCTCTCTTCTCTCTCTCCACATCTATCCATCTATCAATCTCTGCAACCCAAAGAGAAGAACAAGAAGAACAAACAAGAAACAGAGAACAACCCAGAAATCTACCCTCACTTTCCTTCAAAACCCATATCCCCAATCACACAACAACAATTACAGAGAGGGAATTAAGGGAGAGTTTGGGTTTTTGGTTTGGGTTTTGAAGATGGAGCTGTTCCCAGCCCAGCCAGATTTGTCCCTCCAAATTAGCCCTCCAAATACCAATCTTAAACCCTCCTCCACCTGGAGATCAAGAACAGCAGCCCCTCTAGATCATCATCATCAACAAGTTGAAGCTTTGGATTTGGGGTTTTGGAATAATATTGCAGCTTTAGATTCTTCTTCTTCCTCCTCCTCTTCCCAAGCCATGG